CTAACACTATACAATAATGTAACCTGGTACTTTACAAAAATGTGTAGCCGAAACATAGAAACAATAGCTTTTTCCCGAACTAGCCTTCCAGGGACTAGACTTTTAAAATCGTTGGACCCGGTGTAAACTCAGAAATTACTAGTAATTAACAGATTTCTCTAACTTTAAAAAGTAAACTAACATCACATCTCATCACAGTCACCTCCAAATAGAAGTCCATTTTAGCAAAAAATGTCAAAAAGTAACTAATACTGACATATCATCAGGTTAAAAGAGGAAAATAGCCCTCAGATCATGAAAGTGAATGGCGCTTACACAAACAGTCAAAAGACTAAATTTTCAATAAACAAAGAAGGCCTCAAACAAAGTTCTTCAAAATACATGTACGTGTAGCAAAAACATAATGGCAGACCTAACATGAAGTTAAATGAGGCTTGGCAGAAAACAATATCACGTCATTACAAAAAGAGATCATTTGCTCAGAAATTAATTACATGAACACGTATTCAATTTACAATGTCGTTAAAGACAAGCTGTCGGTTTCGTAAAGTTTGCGTTGTCGCCTCTACAAAATGAGACTTAGTTGTAGATTGAAGGCCAGGAGGTATGCCCCCCCCCCCTTGCTTCACGGGACCATAGCGAAATGTTTCATCCTGGAAGGACAAACATGTCTGTCTGCGGGATGGCGTGGTGTTGGTGTCGGTTGTGATCGCAGTCAGGCCGGAGCGGCGTGCTGGGCGCGGGGTGCACCCCGGGCGGGAGTGCAGCGGGGCCGGCCTGGGTCGTCGGAGCCTGCCGGGCGCTTTAACACAGCACCCTCGCCTTTAGATCTGAGCCTGGGTGTGCAGTCTGCCTGTTTGCCTCCAGCCTGGCCTGCAGGACATGGAAAAACGAAAATCTAAGTCAAAAGTCGAAGGCATTTTTGAATTTCATTTGAAGTTACGTGTACATGTACTAGACGTTTTATAAACAAGCCTGGCAAAGATGCGGACGTCTGTATGGACACATTTCGAGGAGAAGTCATTTATCATTTTTAACGAATGTTTTTAACGTCAGACAGCAACAATTTTGTCCAGATGAAAAGGCTCCATTCATCAAGCATCAACGTCTACTTGTTTCTTTTCATTGTAATCATGGGAACAATACAAACACAACATTTCCCTCGGTAATGAAAACAATTCAAATTGTCAAGAGCCTTGTCGGCCTTCGTATGCAAAGATATACATTTGCATAGACTCACCCTCTTCTGTGTGACTGCAGTCGCTTTTCTTTCTTTCTTTTCTGAGCTCTCCGACAGCCTGGCGATAAAGTTTCTTCAAATCGTCTCAAAGTATCCCAAATCCGCGCCTGAAAAAAGTACATATGTTCTGAGCAACATACAAACTATATCGATGTACTTCTAAGTAGAAATAATAAACTATGTAAAAAATAGTGTACACTTCTTGCCAAAATAAATATTTCTGCCGTAGGCACAACTTAGCCAAGGTTTTTAAACAACATGTTTAAGATATATGTAACGATAGTGCCGTATATATAATAGTATCCTTGTTTTAGCTTACCCTTCCTCCTGTCGGTTTGCTGGTTCGTTGCGGTGTTGACCTTTCAATGTAGTAGAGTCATTTCTTCCGTTGCGAAAACGAAGTAACAGAACGGGATGTTTGACGCCATTTTAGTTCAGGAACATACTAGTAATCTTTGCAAGCCGAGACAAACGTGTTTTGAAAAAGCAAACCGTCGTTGTGACAAAGCAAGATTCAAACGACCCACCAAAACAAAGCATCGCGTCTCTTATTGGCTGGTCCCGGCGAGAGCGAGGTAGGATTGGTCGTCAGTCATATAATCACGTGATCGCGTTCAATACTACAACCATCTTGTTTTTATATTATAGGTTTTAAGTTAAATCGCCTGTGCAGTCTGAACACTTGGATGATAGGATGTTTCTGATTGTGTGAATGTATTTATTTCAAGGCAGACAAATGATCTTCATAATTCTAATTCGTCATGATTACATGGCTTTATTCGTTCTAGAATTACACAACTTGTCGCTCACTAAGTGAAATAAAACCGCACTTCAACTCCAACATAACCTTACTCTTTGTAAATGTATCCAAAATCCACAATTAATGTCATGAGGGTTGACTTGTTTTGCTGGATTTCAGTATTTTACCAGGCATGGGGACGCTGTGAGTTCTCCCTTTGTTTACACAAAGGCTATTCACATAAACGGACGCCATGTCAGACACATCGCAATACACATCGACCGAACTACAATGTAAAGCTTGCATATTATTACCCATACATGTACCTAAAAATCATAACAAACTGATCAGGTCATGTTAGTTCAAACCCCTTTAGTCAAGCGTTTGATTACATCATGGTAATGAACCTCACGGATAAACTATATTTCCAAATAAAAAATTCAGATTTAGACCGGAGTGTAGATTTAGGTCATTTTGACCGAGTAGGTCAT